CGGAAATTCCAGTGGCGTAGAAAATATTTCTTATTAGGCGTCCAGGTACCCCAGTATACATATACGTCCCTGGTTTAGTTTGTTATTTTTAGATCTACTTTCTAGCCTAGAAATATTGGCACCTCTTTTTGATGCAGCCTGTAGATAATCGTCTTTAATGTAGTAGTAGTAGTAGAAAGATTTATTTAGCACATTTGGCTACATGGACAGAATAATTGTAAACAACTTAGAATTAGTAAATTCAAACCATATGGTGTATGATGTAAATGGTAAATGAGATAAATAAACTCTATTCTAATCTTCTGTGCTACCAAGAGCTTATTTACAATTCCACACTGATTTGGAGGAGTGCTTTAAGCACAGCTTACTGTCGGAAAAGGACCATACAGTCTTGGTACTTGAGTTGTCAGAACAGGTACGAATTGATGATACATGTTAACGATGATAATGATGATGTCGATGATACTCGTTGCTCATACCTAATCTATTCATGCCATGACTGTAATGCCCTCTATAGTCAGCTTCTAAAAGGTTGTCAGCTACAGTTTCCGCATTTGATTCAGTTGCCCCAACAGCTTTCAAGCAATCCACCATGAAACGTTTCGCCTCAGACAGTTGTGTTACCAATTTTGAAGTCGCTGAGGATAGTAAATGCACAACAGAAATTATTATTTACGTATTGTGTGCATGCTTTAAAAGTTTTAAACTTTGGGAGGCTAAGCACAAAGAAACTGACAGACTTCCAAATCACTTACTTCGAAAATCAATATGTTTTGAGTTAGAAATTGTCGTCACAATAAAAAGAATATCTCTATTGTAGGTATGGAGTGAGAATACAGAGTTTTTGTGAACATACGGTAGGTGTGCCACAGGGTAGCAAATTAGGTCCATTATTATTTATTTTATATATTAACGATATTCCTGATATTTTATAACACTGCAAAATTTAACGATTTGCTGATGATACATTAATATACAGGGTGTCCCAGTAGTCGACGTCAAGCCGAAACCGGGTGATAGGCAAAGTCATAACAGCTATCAGAAAAATATTTAAAAAAATTTTATGTATGTGTTTTGAAAATTATAGGTCTTTGAAAAAAATATAGAAATTTCATACCCTACGGCAGTCTGTCAACTCCTGTTACTACAAATATTAACTTTTTTTGGATTTTATTTTTACAATGTAATGATGAATAATGCATCTTCAAACTGGTGTCTCAACCTTACTGCCAACTTTTCTCGTTCAGGAAAAATTGCCACTTATTTCCCAACCAAGTATTCCAAAGTAAAACTTTGCTCAACTTTAACTGGCTGTACTGGAAAAAATGTACTACGAGAGTTTGGCAAGTAACCTTACAAGTTGGCGCATTTAATAACGATTCCAAAATGGTATAACACTTAGAAGATTACTCGTTATCTTATGCACAATTTTTATTTGAAAAAAAATTGACGAAAATTTTTCAAAATTTCCTAATTAAACAGCGATTATGAAAACGCACAAGGACCCTTAAGGATAACTGTTTGCACAACAGTGGGCGTCAAAATGCTGCTGATGATGATTTACCTTTACAGCAAATGCTCAAACTGTTTTCCTTCAGCCGCAATACACGCTTGACATCTTCTTAAAAAAGATCGGGTTATTAAACGAGCGAATCCACGGTTATTAACAAACTCAGCTACTTCCAATAGTCTTTGCCGTAGCTCAGCTACATTTTGAATCGGCTTGAAATACACTTTTTCTTTTACAGTTCCCCAGTAAAAAAATCTAAAGGATTCAAATCAGGTGATCGGGCTGGCCACGGTATTGTACCATCTGCCTGGAAAGTTTTGATCGAGATACTCTCTCACTGAGAGTGCATAGTGCGCTGGGCAGCCATCATGCTGAAACCGCATGTCCCTGTAAATACTCAGTGGCACGTCCACCAATAAATTTTGTACATGATTTTTAAAAAAATCCAAATTAACTTCAGCAGTCAACGTCTCTGGGAACTCAAACGGACCGATTATTTTACCATTTAAAATTCCTGTCCAATGGTTTATCTTGAACCGATATTGAGATTTATCTTCTCTCATCAAATGTGGGTTTGCTACGTGCCACTCGTGTAAGTTATGCAGGTTAAAATTTTTTCAAAGAACTGTGGATCTTTCCTGTGTCTTTCTAACATTGTGCGACAAAAAGCAACTCGGGGCTCATAATCCCGGGGCAGGAGAGGTTGAACACGCTGTATGTGGTATGGATTTTTCTGATAGCTGTTATGACTTTGCCTATCACCCGGTTTCGGCTTGACGTCGACTTCTGGGACACCCTGTATATATATATATATCAAATAAAGACATTGAAACTGCAACAGAGCTGTTAAATAATGATATGAAAAACGTAATAAATTGGTTGAATGCAAATAAACTTAAACTAAACACAAACAAAACAAAGTATATGCTAATAGGAAAATCTTTAGATCAAAATACGTTAAATCTTACAATTAATCATGAAAAAATTGTGTCAATCGAAGCATTTAAATATTTGGGTATATACGTAGACAGTAAATTAAAATTTGAAGGGCACTATGAATATATTATTTCAAAAATATCCAAGAAAGTAAATTACTTTTATAGAATTTCGCGTTTATTCTAAAAAAATTGTGTACAACACTATCATTCTTCCTCATTTGTTATATTGTTCGAATATTTTGTTCACTGCAAATAAAACTGTATTTTTAAAATTACAAATAAAGCTTTGAGAATCATCTTCAATAAAAATAAATATACTAGAGCATGGTGAAAGAACTACAATGGTTAAATATCAAAAATTTCATAGCCTACTTGGTTTTCATTCTCATATTCAAGTTAAAAAATCATCTACCAAATCACTTAGGAAGTTTTATTGTATTGAACAATGAGTGCTAAACGTATTCTACTAAAGGAAGTATAGACTTTCATTTGTAAAAGTGCAGAAGCAATATAACGAGCAAGTCAGTATTTCACAAGGGATTGTACGATTTTAATAAATTAAGTAATGATATCAAGATGTGTGTCAGTTTGAAAATGTTCAAAGGGAAATTGAAAAAATATCTCATGGAAAACTAGAATTGATTGTAGTGAAATTTTGTATAAAAATATTTAGTCTTGAAGACATAATATATTTTATGATATACGGTGTAATATGGATATTATTGATATTGTTTTGATATACGCAATATATTGATCTTACGCACTATTTATAGATTTTATATCGCAGATGAACTGCAAACCATGCGGCGTTTTCCCTAACTTAATAAAACACTAATGAAAGTACAAAAATATAATTTACCTGACTCTGTAGCCATAGTTTTCTTCGGAAAACTCGCGAATCTGGTCAAGAATTTGTACTGCTGGAGCTTTCGCAAACTCATTCCTAGATATGAGCGGCGTAAAATGATAAAATTAATAACGTTGCTGATTATAATTACGAACAATCCTATCTCGGCAAATAATTGCCAAGGTTTGAATTATGGGATGGAATTCGATATACGAGGTCAAACGGAAAATTTATCTTTTACTGGCCCATACCTTCGGCTCCGCCACATGGGAGTAGTGCAAAGTGTAGGACTATCGCTTCGGTTTGGATTCGGAGAAAGAAATGCACATTTAAAGTAATGCAATAGTTAATGCAACAATAAATGCACATGCACACACAGTACATAATACGTGAGGTATCACGCAGCCTGCTTGCCATATCTTAACATATCCTGTCTCAATAACTATTTTTTTCTGTGGCGGGATAAAAGTTTGACATTTTATCTCTGTTGACAGGAAACAAAATGTCCTTTTATGGAACTACTATTTTCACCGGGAAAAAAATAAGTACTTTTTACCCTGATATTGAATACGCGGTTTCGTAAATTTTCCGCGATTTAGCTGGCAAAACTTTTTGTGGCGCTACTTTGGCTACTTCTACTAATTCCGGTGACGTCGAAGAAAACTCGGAATCAGACATTTTTTACTTTATAGTATTAAAAATAACTGTTTGTCAACTAGGAAGCAGTATGTAAGCTTTGAGGGCATCGTCTCTGACCTTTTGCCTATTTGCAACGAGGTAACGCAGGGATCAGTTCTTGGACCCCTGCTATTTCTAACATATCTCAATGACCTGCCCCGAGTATTGAAGAAAGACTAATCACCGAACAAAGCTTGTAAAGTGTGTCTATATAGGTATACTTTATCTGAAGTCACTTGAAACACTGTGAAATACCGGGTGCGTTTTATATATCTAAATTTAACACGATCTGTTGCTGCAAAAATCGCCAAATTTCGCAGCAAATATCCCCCGTATAAGATCAAAGGCAGTTTCACCAGTCCACGTGGAGTAAAGCACGCCTATGCGTGGACATAGCCAATGAGCGTGTATTTCAGAGCTCCGAACAAGTGCAGGTGGCTACTGAAAATTGAAACAGTTTAGCCAGTGCCGTGTAGCGGTGAATAAACGTGTTTTCTTTAGTCTGTCCGTGTTTTTTCATAGATAGTTTGTGTGTTTTTGACTTTTGAATACTCAGTTTACTGGTTGATTTAATTGTTGTGTTGATTGTTCTTGTGTGTCCTAAATATGGCTCTTTGGAGACCTTGGGAAAATGCTCCAAGCCACGAGGAGATGGTTGATGAACCTGTGCAGGCAGAATTCTTTCATAAAGATTTAGAGGAACAGACCCAAAGAGTAATCCTAAATATGTATGATTGTCTGAAAAACGAAAATCCAGATTCCTCGCAAAATCAAATTTTAAACAGAATTTGTATCCTGACAAAAATCTACCATTTATCGGGTTATAAAAAGGGGAGATGTAGTCAACCATTCCTTCCACAGAAAGCGCATAGGGCCAAAATTAAAAAGAATAGACGTGGGTTTTCAGGAAGATATTCGTCGTATAATATACAGATTTTATGAAGAAAATTTGGTGCCCACGTTGGAAATGATACGGGATAAATTAAAAGATTATCCTGAAGATTTTTATAATTACAAATGCTTAGACTCACTGCACTGTATTGTAAAACTGTGTGGTTTTCAATACAAAAAATTAGATAAAAGAATGGTGATTATGGAGTCGTCTCGAATCGTTGAATTGCGCCAAGAATTTTTGCACAAAGTTAAAATCTATAGAGAGCAGAAAAGAAATCTGATTTACCTGGATGAAACGTGGTATGATACCCATGATGTTGTGCAGTATGGCTGGGTTGACGACAGCAACAAGTGCATTTTAAATGCACCATGCAACCGTGGAAAACGAATCATTATTCTCCATGCTGGCAGTGAAAATGGATTTATACCTAATGCCTTGCTGTTATCTGCCAAAAATATCAAAGAATCATGTGCCGACTATCATGTGGACATGACCTCCGACTTATTTGAAAAGTGGATAGAGCAGCAGTTAATACCAAACATTTCCCCAAATTCAGTGATTATTATGGACAATGCGCCATACCATTTCCGACAGAAAAACAAAATTCCGAATACAGGCACAAAAAAACAAGACATTATTGATTTTATGAAGGATAAGGGAATGGAAATACCACAAAAATCAACCAAAGCCATATTATTGGATCTTATTAAAAGACAAAAATTTGAAAAAGAGTATGTTGTTGACAATCTGCTTCAGCAAAATGGCCATGAAGTATTACGTCTACCTCCCTATTACTGCATTTTTAACCCGATTGAGTTGGTCTGGGCTGCTTTTAAAAAAAAAGTAAGAAAACATAATCAGACCCCTCAATTAAGTGAATCGCTATTGGCCACAATAAGAGATGCAGTATCTCATATTGCTGCCACAGACCTATGGAAGCAGTGTTCTAGGCATATTATTAAAAAAGAAAATGAATATTGTGTTTTGCCTCCTTTAAATCCCGTTGTAATTCCTCTACAAGATGACTCTAGCGACAGCTCCGAAGGCGAGGATGATATATAAATACCTATAATGTAAGTCTTTATATACCTTTTTATATACCTACCTGCTATGTAAATATTTGCCTATGTCAAACGTTGGAATTCTGTAATTTTTCCATTTCTTAACTTTCAGTCAACATAAATTAAACTCCCAATATAAGTATTTTTTATCCCAAATCAAAAAAATAAGAAGATAGTAAAATCCATTTATTGTGATATAAAAACATTATTATTATCGTTCTAAATAAATGACCGTACGCCTATGATACGTCATGAAATTACAAAGGACGCGCCGACCAAAGGTTTTTATGCTATTTCAAGTGACTTCAGATAAAGTATACTTCAGAATTTAAATTTAGCGCCATTTGGCGACGATTTGACTGAGAAAAGTGATTTTTTAGTCCTGTTTTTTTTCTTTATAAAAAATGTAATTGTATAGTACGTCCGTACTTTGGAAACAGGCAGTAAAATTATTGCCATTTTTAAATTGTGTCGTTAATATGATTACAATTTGTATTGATCGCGTACTTTAATAAAAACAGGGATGTTTTCACTTTGTCAAATATTTCATATTAATTACATTTCCCAAGCATAAAAGCAGTAAGTGAATTTAACAAAGTAAAAAATCAGTAGTTTTCAAACCATACTGTTCTTCTTTTCTTTATGATACTATTTTTAACTTTTTATAACCTTTTTATAACCGACTTTTACTTAGACATAGTTTTTTTTGTACTTCTATTATTTGTGAATAAGTATTTATTGTTAGAATATAAATCCTGAAGTACCTATTTTGGGACACTCTTGGAAAAAAGGGAGCCAGAAAAATCTATTTTCTGATAATTTTGAAACATTCTCCTACCTTTAAGTTATGAGAAACATCGCTTAAATAGTAGCAGATATAGGTTGTTATGAAAAGGCATGGTAAAACATTGATAACATTCACTTTGTAAACTTTTATCGTATGCCACTAAAAAGTTTATGCACATTTCACGCCACCATAAGGATGATAAATTATTATAGTAATAAACTTTACCTAAATGTAATGCCTGGATCGAATCCATTATTAGACTTGGATTGTTAAATTTTAACTGCAATTCCGATCACTTTCTTATCTGCAATGGGTTTATTTTCCAATTGTTGACAAAATCAGTCATATACAGTTAAGATAATGATTGTTTAGACGTTGTCAAATAAAAGTCTATCATTTTGATCGGGTTAATACAGGATGATCGAAAACTATATTAAATGTATCTATCGTTACCTCAAAGCCAGACTAGGTTAAGTCCATTTTGCTTGAAATGAGTTTTATACAGGGAAAACAAAATTTGTCTGACGGCTTGAGTTCAATGTGTACGAGAGAGAAGTGGGAATCATAACATGTTAGAAAGAGATAGAAGCCGACTGAAGAGCAAAGGTCATCACTTTATTGCCTAGCGACGCATATGGTCGTGCAATCTGCCGCGTTGCCAATATGTTAGATTCAAGGGAGAACACGGTGTATTGAAATCCCTACGGCAAATAACACTCCTGCGGAAAACCACTTTTTATCCACATCACACCATATACAGGGTGTTTCTTAATTAAATGTCAATATTTTAGTGGGCAATTTTTTGGTCTATTCTAACAAGAAAACCTCATATATGAACGGCACAGGTATCACGTATCTTGAAAAGTGACATTATGTCAATTTTTTTTGACATTATTTTGTTTTTTTTTGACATTATGTAGGTTTGTCTAGAAGATGTTAACTTAGCACTTAGTTGTACGTGTTGCCTAAACGTCACGAGGCTTGTTATCAACCTTTGACTCTGATGTGATGTGATGTAAAATCTACTTCTGAGAGGGCATTACTGGAGGTCTAAGCTGTAAGTTGTATGTGTTGATGATAATTACATTGGGTTCTTGTCTCAAATACACTTAATTGAGATTCAAAGCTAGAAATTAGTTGCGCATCCACTTTTTCTTGTCCATTCTGGAAATTACATATACAAATTTCCTGAATTTCAAAAATGAGAGAGATAAGAAATAATTATATTCACTGTTCATTGTCGAATTACAAGCTATATTCATGCTAACAGTAATTACACACAACGCGGGCGCGGTGATGATTTCCCGTAATTCCCCTCAGTTTTTCGTAATTTATAATTTTGAACATAACCTCTCATCAGAAAGCACAACATATAAATCACCCGTCATATTCAGCATATTCAGTAATGATTTTCTCACACAGCAAATATCACTGATTTTATACACATGCAGACCAATACACATAATCATCCAGATGCGATCTTGCTATTCAACCAACTTTCTTCTCAGAGATAATAACTACAGATACGGATCACTCAGCCTCACAAAACTATGCAACCAATAATGCGTGTAGTTTAGTTGAGTGATTCCTCCATAGATGGACGTTCACGACGATCCTAGTGAGCAAACGTGGAATGACTGTTTGCGCCCTGAAAACTACCTAGTATGCAAGTTGACACCTTATAGGTTTTTTTGACGTTTTATAGGATTTTTTACATAATAGTCTTAGCTTTTGAGATACAGGTTTGTAATGTTTCCAATATAAAAAGTTAGTTGCACGCCAATAGATGGTCTTAAAATACAAGCAAAATTGAAATCCGTAATCATTTATGAGCAGATTTTATCTCTTGAATTTTTATACTTCGTCTCACGGTTCACACCCAAAAATGGCGTCAAGTAGGTTGACTCTGCACAACCTCCATCCTCGAGTTTTTTTACCTCTAAAATTTTTTTCAGAAAACGAAATTCGAGCGATTCTTATTTTTTCCGTTTTTAACCTTTTTTTCTGCCGTCACTGGATCGCTTTTGAATCCTTTTCGTAGTGGCAACACTGTGTAAAAATTCATCGATGTCTGACAGACCGACTGACGGAAATGAGTGACGTGGTTTTTCTTAATGTTCAAAACATATAACATCCAAAAAACATACTATTTCAGTTTCGAAAATTTTCGCGATTGCAATACTTCCAAGCCAGTAGGCGTGATAGGTAAAATTCTTCTGCATGGGGATGTTGCCATATTAACGATATTGTCATGATCATGCAAAAACAAACGGCTTTTATTTTTACGCGAAAACCGTGCATCGGATTTTAAAAAATCAAGTGGTGAAATTTTATTAGAAATCATTGCTGATTTCAAGAATCATTTTTATTTTGAGAGAATTCAAGGTTTGCCAAAATAGATAGGTAAAATTCCGTGCTAACGCCACTGTACTGGTTAAAATTAAGAAATGTAATATATACAACATTGCCTCTTGATACATGTATGCCAAATTTCATTGGAATATATAGTGAATAAATATAAAGTGATATTTACAATGTTAATAATAAACAGCTCATGTTTTAAACTTTACCACCCTGTATAAGTTAAGACGTTTAGGACCCCAAAATCGCTCTTTAAATATCGACATTCAGTTAGGAAAGATCCTATATATATCATTTACAATTACATCACACAAGTTCAGAGTTCAATACAGGTGAGTACTTACTTAAAGCTCACTTTACAACCCACATAATACAAATTATAACAATTCGAATGAATTAGTACTACTTTACCGCTACAATGATAATACGACATTGCAGCGAAGGTTGGCAAGTCGACACAGTGCAGTGGCGTAGCAAGAGGGGGCAGGCGGGGTCCATGGCATACGATATTTTTAGTTGTCGATATATCGATATTTATCGGTTTTCCGATATATCGTTGCATCCCTAGCTGTGACACACTGCCCTCTAATGCAAACTTCCATCCTATGGCCTCCCAGAGAAGCTTAGCAGATGTGAGGCTGACCCATTATTTATCCATTATTTGCGCTTTATTTATGATAATATGGAAATAATTAACAAGTTTCTGTAGTTATTTGGCACAGCATATATGTCAGTTTTTCTATCATAAGTTGTTCTCTTCTAGCAATAAAAAGTACATTAGCATCGCCACCTTTTCTCTTCTACAAAGTGGCATAATTTGAATCTCAATTTGACGCTTCGCCGCTTGTCCTAAATTAGCAGCATTATTTTTCTAATAGATGCCATATTAGATTTTTGTACAGGTGAATGAAGTTTTTCATTCTGATTCCAAAACTGCATAAAGTATACCACATGGCTATTATCAAACATAAGTTATTAAAAAAAACTAGTATATCCATAGTTGACTTTGAAAATGGTAACAAAATAATTTGCATAGACATTATTCTGTATTGTACTTTGAGAAAATAAAATTTGAGATTAAAGAAATAAAAGTGCAATACCAGAAGTAAATAATTCTATGCAAAATTTTGTTTTTTTTTCTTTACACCAAAATATAGCCTAAATTGTAATTAAAATATATCAGAAGTCTTAAAATAGGATGCGAAACAGAGATACGTATTTTTAAGTACGAGCCCCTTCCCACTTCAGTTTGCCAACTATTGAAATCTTAGTTTTTTTCTTATCACAAATAATAAAAATGTAGCAGGGTGTTATAGATTTAAAATATTAACACTGAATATTTTGATAATATATAGTAGAAAACACCAACTTTATCACTCCCTAATCAAATTTGCAGCATAAAAATAACACATGTTGCAATTACAGCATATCAACCTATTTTCATTTCAATGCAAAATAAGTCTATAACGCTTAGGTGGCTGTGAAAAATAAAAGCCATGACAATTGTTTTTATTAATCACAGCTGTCAGAATACGTTTAAAATAGTTTTGGGTAGTTAAGGTTTTCAAAATGGGTAGATGAAAGGTTATTAGTGAGAAAATTCGGATACTAATAATTAAATTCTTTAATTTCGGCAGTCCAGATATGTCACCTATTGAAACTTTGTGGCACGAGATGAAAAACGTTCTACGACAACATCCTGCTCGTACAATCACCGAACTGAGACAAAAGCTTCGAGAAATATGGGATTGTTTTACACCAAATTTTTGCCAAAACTTGGTTAACACTATGCCCCAAAGAATTTCAGCCGTAATAAAAAATAAAGGTGATGTTACCCAATGGTAATCTTTCAATTGTTGCTTTGTTAACTTCGCGCATTTATTCGCACATTGTTTATTTGTTCAGATGTTCTATTAGTTATAGGTCTAAAAGTGATTTCAAATACGTATTTTTTACGACTAGAGTGTATCTAAAATGTTTTTGAGAAAATAAATTGTTTTAGAAGTAAATAGTTGCGTCATGTTTAGTTTATAAAGGCATATTTTGGTACAAATCTTGAAGTGGGCCAACTGGGAAAGGGGCTCGTACATGTCTCACACTGGATATGACGTCAGGCGTATGATTGGGTCGAAGATTTCGCTATAAAAGAAACACTAAGGACATTTTTAATTAACTAAGGAATTTGATGGTACATCGACTTTTATTAATTTTCTTCTCTGGTAATAAAAATAGAGCGGGGCGGTAAATTTTCGGTCTGCCCCGAGCTGCGAAAACCCACGCTACGTCACTGAGTCGACAAAGATGATAATAAGCAACCAATAAATTTTAGTCGGTAATAAAAAAGCTAAAGCGATACTGCATTAACGACCTTTGAAGGACGTAACATATCGCATCGCTTCGCGAGATTCAATTCTAACCGCGGAATCGCGTAGTGGGCTTTGATTGGCGACGCACGCGCCGGAACAATTGATTTTTCTCCGGCGTACACGCGGTCGCGGCGTTGCCGATGTGTGTGTTTCAATGGGGAATCTGCGAAAGACGAGAAAATTATACATCAGCTATTATGGAGGGGAAATCTGACAGAAAAGTGTGTAAACTCATAAAAAATCAAACGAGTAAATTCATTTCTTCATTTTATTTCCTACTGTCGAGGAAGTACTGTTTTTGCAGGAAATTTCGAAAATGAGATTTATAATGTTTTTTTGATGTTATATGAAGTGTACATTACGAAAAACTATGTCACGCATTTGAGTATGTATGTTTCTGTCTGCTAATTCTTGGCCTGGATAGTCTATAACTTGGGAAGTACCACTTGGATTTTGATGAAATTTTCACAGGGGTTACTACTATACCAAGGACGCAGCAACTTTGTGGTTTTTGAAAACTGGTGCAGTACCGGCGAAATTAGGGAAATAAATGATAAAGAAATCGTTGTTTTTATGGGTTGTGGTTAGGTAAGTAAAATAAATTAGGGCATTTTGAACTCACAGTAAGTACTATAAAATTCTTTAGATCCTACTTATCAGGGTGGGGGCAATACAAAGCATATAACGGCTTCAAGTCCGAAGCCTACTCAGCTCCATCCGATCTTCACTAGCGGTTTAACTTGTATCAATTTTATTTTTATTGTTTATTAATGACCCCTGTGAAAATTTGAAATGTATGCAATTATGCTTTGCTGACGACATGGAAATATATTCGTCTATAAGGACTTGTTGCGATGTTAACAATTTTCATCTAAATACCAACAAGTGCAAGGTTGTT